TACTTTGAAGAGGTCTGTTAGGAACAAGGCACGCCCAAAAGGCTCAATTGCAGAGGGTTATGTGGCAGATGAAGCCCTCACGTTTTGCTCGAGATATATGGATGATGTAGAGACAAGGTTTAATCGACTCCCAAGAAATGTTGGATTTTCAGATCAGTCAGCCTATACTGTTGATGTTTTTGGGCACGGTGTAAATCTTATTGGTGCATGTGATCTTTCCTACTTCGAGGAACTTGATAAGTTGGTTTGGTATGTTCTCCATAATTATGATCAGGCCGAGAAGTACATAAAGTATGTTCTTAAATCTATATTTTGTATATTACATCTGTTTCTTAATGATTTTCAGATTAGCAACTTACTGATTTTTTTATTTTTGAGTTACAGAATGTTTGAAGATGAATTAACAGCAGCAGGGGTGGCTGCTGCAGATCTTGAAAGAAGGACAGAGCAGGGATTTGGGAGTTGGTTCAGGAATTACGTTAGTATCTTATTGTTATCCTAAATTTTTAGTTATCTTATAGATAATTATTTTGGCGCCGAGACATTCCCTTTTGCAGGTGTGGAGGTTGAATGCATCAGAGGAGGTAGATGATGATATATTTGCCCTAGCTTGTGGCCCTGACCTTAGAGTAAGATCATACTCCACATGTGTTGTCAATGGTGTGCGGTACTGCACCGTCGAGCGTGACAAAAACAAGAAGACACAAAACTCTGGGGTGGCCTGTGCAGGTGCATACAGAAGTGAGATGATTGATTTTTATGGTACATTGAAAGAGATTATTGAGTTACAGTACAATGCCAAGGATGATGGTACAAAAAGAATTGTTGTTGTTTTTAGATGTGACTGGTATAAATTGGATGGTAAGCATACTGCAGTAAGGGATGATGGATTTTGTAAAAGCATCAATATTGGCAGCTTGTGGTACAAGAAAGACTGTTTTATTTTGGCAACTCAAGCTACACAGGTTTTCTATTTGCTAGATATTAAGAATGGAACGAATTGGCGGATTGTCCAGACATTTAAGCATCGTCGTTTGTACAATGTGTCTGAAATAGATGGTGTCATATCCACTGCTGCACCCTATCAAGAGCAGACATGTGCTGTGGACACTGGCAGAAGACCAGAAGTTTTTGAGATGTTACCTGACATGCCTTTGAATAGGGCTGATGAGGCTGGCCTTCTTGTTGATGCTGCTGAGGTTGCTCAACTTACAAAGGAAAATCAATCAAAGACTATTAGTGAAGATGAAGAGGGTGATGAGGTAGAGGATGACACACTGATGGAGTACTGGAGTGAAGAAGAAGCTGTCCCTATTGAGGTAGACAGCGACGACGAGTAGTTTCTATACTAGTGATCTGATCATTTGTCATGTATTATTATGTAATATTTTCCCAGTTTAGTAATGGAGTTAAGAACCCGTATTTGGAAGCAACAAGACATTTCTGTTTGGATTTATGACTATATTATGTTAAAATTTCAAGAATTTCTATCATTTCATATTCTTAAATATAGGACATACACAATATCTTGATGTACATTTGGTGCTTACTATGTAGTCACCACAAAATCACTCTATTTTCATATAATCATCCTAACTTGGAATGGAGTTGATTATCGATGTAGAACATCTTATACGATTACTAGACATGCATTGGGTAGTCACCCTGATTTCGATTGAGATCTAGCTAGCTAGCTAGAGATGAACCTCTAGGAATTGAATTGGTACAAGTTATTTGGTACTTACAATATATAAAATCAACACCAAATCACCCTAAGCAAGATACATTCAAGTCGAACACTTCTAAAATCATCAACGATTACTATAGGTTATGTGACACCTACCACAAAGTCAAATGTGGCAGGTGGAGAAATACAAGCAATAGCTGATCGATGTGTAGAGTGATATGTTCAAGGAGTACTATATATATAGACATCAATGGGTAGTCACAAAAAAATCAGCCTTATATAGCATAACATGATGGAGTTGATTGATCTACGTTGGTAGAGAACCTTTAGGGATTAGTACAAGTTATTTTGTACTGACTATATATATATATAATCACCACCAAAACCCCGTAAGCAAGATACGTTCGAGTCGAACACTTCTCAAATCATTAACGATCACTATAGGTTATGTGGCACGTACCACAAAATAAAATGTAGCCTTTGTAGAAATACATGTGAGAGCTTCGAAGTTATATAGATTATTGGGCTTAATATGTGCTATTAAGTACTATTACTTGTCATAAGAGGGGCAGTAGTGATTTATTTACATTACCGGGCCTAAACAATTTAATTGACCAAATTTATACAATTAATACCAAGCAAGTATATATAGTAATCCAAATTTGGTTATTACCGTGCACTATTTTAATATCTTGATAGCTAAAAAAAATATATAAGGACCATTTCAAGAAAAAAGAAGCACCCTGAATGTTTCGGCGGGCATTCTGAACAGTGTAGGCGCGCACCCTGAAATTTTTGCTGGCAGCGGCCTTCCCCACTCCACAATTTGGCATGCGAATTTACCAATTTGGCCCGCCCGCCTAGACAGCACTCCATCACACAAAGGAAATGATGAGGCTATTTTGGTAATATTGCAACGCCCTATATAATCGGGTCACCTGTCGTCCCGTAGCCCCCAAATCCCCCAATCCTCCAAACCTCGCCCCCAGAACCCTACGCCCCGCCATCTGTCGTCCCGTAGCCAGTGACCCCACCGTCCGCCGTCCCGCAGCCACCACCGCCCTGCCATCCCGCAACCACCTCTTCCTCTTCTCCCAGAGTACCTACAGAAACATCGATGTTGCCGAAGAAGAGGGGCAGAAAACCAACGAAGAGGCCACGGACGGGAAACCAGTTTGCAGGCGAAGTGTCTCTCCTACATCCTTATTTTCGGTGATCTTGCTCACACAGTATCGGGTCACCTAGATATGCTCCTACGAACCCTATCTGAGTGATAATGGCTGCAGGCGATTAGAACCCTATCTGAGTTTAAGATGCCTGTGTTTCTTGGTTCAGAAAGTCTGATTGCCATGGTGGGTTCAGGGTTGGTGGGGTGGTGCTGTGTTTCTTAACATCCTTGTTCCTGCCGCCATCTTTTAGTGCTATTAGTTTTCTTTGCTGCCTCTTAGTTTAGGCTGTACTCGGTGGTGTAGTGAAATGCGAAAGAAGCAAAGTGCTGAGGAAGGTTGCTTTGATTTCTTTTTTCTTCCAAAGATATGCTCTGTCTGATTGGTATATATGATGGGTGCCAAAAAAATTATGTGAAGGGAAAATAAAAATAAGATGTCCTTGTATAGATTAAGATCTGTATAGCAAGTAGCAGAGGATCCTTGTACAGATTAAGGACTGCTACTTGTGGCCTTGCTGATGTGAACTAGATGTTAAAAATGTTTTCTGTCTGGTTGTGAACTGGATGTGAACTGGTTGCTGATGTGAACTGGATGCTTAAATATGTCCCTAATTTTCTCTTTGTTCCTTCTTAATGCAGATCCTCCGCTTACTGACTATGAACTTCAGCGGATGAGAAAGTGTTTCCACAACAACGCAAAGATGCGGCAACTAGGACTTCTTGTACTAGCTAGACTTTTTGTGAACACTAGGATTTCCCCAGAAATCCAGCAGCAGAAGGAAACATAAAACTCTGGTTCAGAGTACAATGGTGAGGATGAGCCTAACAGTGATGGCCATCTAAGTGATGATGGCCTAGAAACGAAGACAGAGTTGGGGTGTACACTTGCTAGTTTTGAAGGGTTATAAGGTTGCTACACTAGCCGAAAAACAAAAATTTCGACCCCATAATCAGGAACTACCGCTAGTTATGGATCATGGGATTACCACTAGACATGCAGGTGCAGCGGAAGCGACTCGGTGTAGTCGTGCATGTCGCAGCAGTGCCGTGCAGTTGCGTGGTCGTCTTTCCGCCCGTCCCTCTCGTGCGGTTCGTCCTTGTGCTCCAGATGCAGCACCTCCGAGGTATCCACACGTACAGGGAGGAAGCGTCGCGCCTCCGCAACAAAGGCGCGGGCGTGGGGAAGGGCGGCGGCTGCCAAATGGCGTGGATTGACCTAGCCCTGCCGCCCTCCCCTTGCTTATATAGGCGTCCTAATGAGCTCCCGAGTTGGAGGCCCATTAGCAACCCTGAACCTTGTCTAATTTGGGTCCAATCCGAATTAGGCTTCCAGCCCCTTAAGCGTGCGACCCTATGGGTTCACGCACACATAGACATGGCCCGAATACTCCTATTCGGCCAATAGTTGGCAGCGGCCTCTAGCAAGGCGTGTCAACTCCTATGTATACGTAAAGATCATATCAGACGAACCACCACAAAACCACATACATGTTATTCGCTTTGTCACATGATATTTGGTCCAACTCGTGGGTTAACTATTAACCCAAGCATGACCATGCATTTTCTTGATCCAAATCATTCGAGTGGTCCAGTGATATCTCTCTCTCATGAAGAGGGGCAAATTCCATCTTGATTGACTATGTCTCACAGCATGTTTCCTGACAAACTTGAAAACCACCTTTATAACTACCCAGTTACGGAGTAGCGTTTGATAGTCCCTAAGTAGGTCATTTCACATCTTGAGTACATATGACAATCTCAAGTCTAAGGACATAACGTACATGATGTGTAAAGAGACAATAAGAACATCTCACGTTGGGTCTGTCTAGCCCCATGTCATACATGTGCCCACATTATTAGTTTGACATCTCCATGTCTATGACTTGTGAAACATAGTCATCAACTAATAATGTGCTGATCTAATATTCATGTGTGTCCTCACAAGAACTCTGATAAGGGACAACTTTAGAATAACCATACAAGTAAAAGAGTTTCACAAACAATTCACATAATTGCCAATCGATACAAGTTGTCTTTAATGGATATTCAAATGAACTCATAATATATCATGGATACAAGGCAATACAATCATCTCTATGATTATCTCTAGGGCATACTCCCAACAATCTCCCACTTGCACTAGAGTCAATCTCGAAGATATTTAATACCCATAGCTCTCATGTGCGTCTCATGCTTAGGCTGTGGAAGAGCCTTTGTCAAAGGATCTGCAACATTCAAATCCGTGTGTATCTTGCACATCTTGATGTCACCTCTACTAATGAACTCTCTAATGAGGTGAAATTTCCGAAGTACATGTTTGTTCTTTTGGTGATTCCTTGGCTCCTTGGCCTGTGCTATAGCCCCATTGCTATCACAATGCAGATTCAATGGGCTAGATGCATTTGGAAACACACCAAGTTCAATGAGAAACCTCCTCATCCAAACACCTTCCTTCGTAGATTCAGAAGCTACGATGTACTCGGCTTCTGCTGTAGAATCGGACACCGTCTCCTGCTTGGAACTTTTCCAGCTAACCGCACCACCATTTATTGTGAACACATATCCTGATTGAGACTGTGAATCATCCGTGTCAGTTTGGAAGCTAGCATCGGTGTAACCATTTACAATGAGCTCTTCCTCACCTCCATGGACTAGGAACACATCTTTAGTCCTTCTCAAGTACTTAAGAATGTTTTTAGCAAGTGTCCAGTGACTCTCACTTGGATTAGCTTGGTACCTGCTCGCAACACTTAGAGCATATGAAACATCTGGATGTGTACATATCATGGCGTACATGATGGAACCAATTGCCGAGGCGTATGGAACCTTACTCATACGATTGCGCTCATCAGCTGTCGAAGGACACTGTTTAGTGCTAAAGCGCATGCCATGTGACATAGGCAAGAACCCTTTCTTAGACTGTTCCATGTTGAACCATTTCAACACCTTGTCAATGTACGTATCTTGGCTTAATCCTATAAGCCTCTTCGATCTATCTCTATAGATCTTAATGCCCAAAATGTATGCTGCTTCTCCTAAATCCTTCATAGAAAAACTATTATTCAGTGAAGTCTTTACTGATTGCAACATTGGAATATCATTCCCAATCAATAGTATGTCATCTACATACAAGATTAGAAATACAATAGCACTCCCACTTTCTTTCTTGTAAACACAAGGTTTTTCATTCTGATGAAAACCAAACCCTTTGACTACTTCATCAAAATGAATGTTCCAACTCCGAGATGCTTGCTTTAACCCATAAATAGATTTCTTAAGCTTGCATATTTTTCCAGCATTGTTTGAATCAACAAAACCTTCGGGCTGTATCATATACACGTCCTCTTCTAAATTTCCATTTAGAAAGGTTGTTTTAACATCCATCTGCCATATCTCATAATCGAAATAAGCAGCTATTGCTAGAATGATCCGGATAGATTTAAGCATCGCTACTGGCGAGAAAGTCTCGTCGTAGTCAATTCCTTGAACTTGCCGAAAACCCTTTGCAACAAGTCGAGCTTTATAGACGTGAACATTTCCATCCATATCCTTTTTTCTTTTTATAGATCCATTTGCACTCTATGGGTCTAACCCCATCAGGCGGGTCAACCAAGTTCCAAACTTGATTGTCTCCCATGGAATCTATCTCGGATCTCATGGCACTTTGCCATTTCTCGGAATCTAGGTCCATCATTGCTTCCGCATATGTCGCAGGTTCGTCATCGTCCAACAATAACAATTCCCCGCGTGCCTCACGGATTCTTGCTGACCTTCGTGGTTGTGGTGGTGCCTCTACTGCCACGGGTATCTCAACTTGTTCTGCTACATCAGCATCACTCGTAGAGTCCTTCCCTGTTTGCTCATCTTGAACTTCTTCAAGATACACCTTCTGTCCACTTTTCTCTCTTTTGAGAAACTCTTTCTCTAAGAAAATACCGTTCCGAGCAACAAACACTTTGCCCTCTGATCGGTTGTAAAAGTAATATCCTAAAGTTTCCTTTGGATATCCCACGAAAAAACATTTGTCCGATTTGGGTGTTAGTTTATCTGACTGAAGTCGTTTGACATAAACTTCACAAGCCCAAATTTTTAGAAAAGACAAACTGGGACTCTTAGCGGTCCACATCTCATATGGTGTCTTAACTACGGACTTAGACGGTACCCTATTTAATGTGAAAGCGGCTGTTTCTAGAGCGTATCCCCAAAACGATAAAGGTAGGTCTGACTGGCTCATCATTGACTGAACCATGTCCAACAAAGTCCGATTACGTCGCTCGAACACGCCGTTTCTCTGAGGCGTTCCAGGTGGCGTAAGCTGTGGAACAATTCCGCAGCTCTTTAGATGGTTGCTAAACTCGTGACTCAAATATTCTCCTCCATGATTAGATCGCAAGGCCTTAATTTTCTTGCCAGGTTGATTCTCTACTTCATTCTGAAATTCTTTGAACTTTTCAAATGTCTCAGATTTATGTTTCATTAAGTAGACATAGCCATATCTACTAAAATCATCAGTGAAGGTTATGAAGTATTGGAATCTGCCTCTAGCTATCGTGCTCATTGGTCCACATACATCAGTATGTATGAGTTCCAACAAGTCTATCGCCCTCTCAGGAAAACCTGTGAAAGGCGCCTTGGTCATCTTCCCTAGCAAACAAGCCTCACATGTCTCGTATGATTCAAAATCAAACGAAGTTAAAAGCCCTTCAGCATGGAGCCTCTTCATGCGATTCTCACTTACATGACCTAAACGACAATGCCACATATAGGTAGGACTTAACTCATTAAGCCGAGGCCTTTTAGCACTTATATTACAGACAGGTGCATCATCAAGATTTAAAATAAATAACCCATTCACAATGGATGCAAAAGCCACAAACATGTCATTCTTAGTGATAACACAACCATTGTCTTTACTCGCAAATGAATAACCATCCTTCATCAAACATGAAGGTGACACAATGTTTCGACTTAAACTAGGAAGAAAATAACAATTATTCAATTCCAAAATAAATCCTGACGGGAGGTGGAGTGGCATCGTCCCGACGTTCAACACAGCAACTCTTGCATTATTGCCCACGCGGAAATCAACTTCTCCCTTTTCCACGCTTCTACTTCTTATCATTCCCTGCATCGTATTGCAAATATGAGCAACCGATCCGGTATCAAATACCCAAGAATTTATATAAGAGTTAGCGAGGAAAATGTCCGTAACATAAACAACAAGTGTACAAATTGCGGGAGTACCTTTACCGCCGCTATCCTTCATGGATTCTAAGTACAGCTTGCAGTTCCTCTTCCAGTAACCTTTCCCCTTACAATGATAGCATTCAGTGTCAGCAGTTGGTCCAGCCTTGGGCGCAGGTGGGTTTGGCTTAGAGTTCTGACCTTTAGCCTTGCCCTTCTTCTTCTTCCAAGAATTGCCCCTCTTTTTAAATCGGGGCTTATTTTGGACCGCCATCACATGGCTACTGCCAGCACCTTTCTTGATATCAGCCTCTACAGTTTTAAGCATGCCACACAATTCATTCAAGCCCTTTTCCGCCCCATGCATATGTAGTTCGAGATGAAGTTCCCATAGCTAGGTGGAAGAGACGCGAGAATGAAATCAGTAGCCAACTCTGGGCCAATTGGGAAGCCCAGCTTCTCCAACCTCTGAGTGTAACCAACCATCTTGATCACATGTGGCCCTACTGCTGTGCCCTCTGCTAGCTTAGTTTCAACAAAAGCCTTTGAGACATTGAACCTTTCAGTCCTGGCTTGAGTCTGGAACATATCATCGAGCGCCACGATCATATCATACGCTGCATGGTTGTTGTCAAACTGCATCTGCAGATCTGGTTCCATACAAGCAAGCATAAGGCAACTCATTTCAAGACCAGCATCACATGCCTTCTTGTAAGCGTTTTTCTCAGCAGCAGGAGCATTATCAGTAGGCTCTACAGGTAATGGGGTGTCTAGAATATCTTCCTTTTTCTCAGCCATGAGAACAATTCTCAGGTTGCGGATCCAATCCGCATAGTTTGTTCCATTCAACTTATCTTTCTCAAGAATTGAACGCAAAGTAAACAGTTTATCTATAACAAAAGTAATGCAAAAATACTAAGACAATGTATCCATGACAGAATAAATAATATTAAGCCTTTAATAGAATCTACTCCCACTAAAATCAATATCCCTCTATTGAAACTTAGTGATTCAAGACCCACAACTAACAAGTCTACTAGTGAGCTTTAGCATCACCGCTAGAAGACATGGTAGATCGGTAAGCAACTCTTTGCTAATCATATCACATATGACTCTTGTTGCTGGGTAGCATCTCTATGCTATAGCGCCCAACTCCTTATGCTCCAAGGTCCCTAACCGTTAGGATGACCTTGTTCAAGTAACCAACCTTTCTACTGTAAGTATCCGATACGAACCTGTCTAGTCAAGGAAAATCAGTGGCACCCTAATTTCATAGACCCACCACCGATTGTACAAGACCAAAGACAGTGCAAGGTTTGGGGGAGCAATTCAACTTAAACATTGCTGAGGGATCATTCTACTTCACTATCGCATATAGACAAAAACATTATCGCACGTGAAAGTAGAACATAGTAAGAACGGCATTAACACAGATATGACTTGCTATAGCCCATTGTTCCTCTAGGGATCTCCATCTCCATTAATCTCCATGATCCATGTATGCCATCCTTCAGTGATGAGTCTGCCAAGACTAGCTATCACTAACGCAAGGCAGTGAACTAAAATTACATAGTCGCGGATAGGATCATCACAGTTTGGCACGCAGGCCATTACAATAATGTTGACAATATCTATGAGGCTCCAGCCCATATTGTCATCCTCATGACGTGCAAGCCATGAATTAATTACATACATGCATCACATACACATAAGAGCTATACCAGTCATGAAATCCTGCAAAATAGAGTTAACCGATTCCGACGTCTAATCTTAAAACGCCAAAACACCATCTTCCTGGCCTTTTTCGCAAAAATAAATTCAGCGAACCCGACGAAGTGGGAGAGAATCGGATGCAAAAATTTTTTCTCTACAATTTTCGTTTAAGAATCGTCTCAATCCGAGGTCCTATGCAAAAGTTACGGCCGTTTTACCGAACAACACTTTTTGTTGCACCCCGGCGCCCGGTAATAGATCCAATCTACCACCACCGCGCATCACATGCGCTCGGCTCTTGACCTAGGTTTGATTCGATCAATCTAATTGATCTCCAACTCACCATGACTGGGTTTACATGTATCACTTAACTCGGATGGTGGAATTCCGACCGGTACGAGTAGATCGTTACAAGACCAACATAGCGAGATCACGAACCATGATAAGAAAGACATCTACAACCGTGCATATCTCCATATGCATACATCCGAATCCATAATGACGCAGCTATGGCTTTGATACCACTGAAGGGTTATAAGGTTGCTACACTAGCCGAAAAACAAAAATTTCGACCCCATAATCAGGAACTACCGCTAGTTATGGATCACGGGATTACCACAAGACGCGCAGGTGCAGTAGAAGCGACTCGGTGTAGTCGTGCACGTCGCAACAGTGCCATGCAGTTGTGTGGTCGTCCTTCCACCGGTCCCTCTCGTGCGATTCGTCCTTGTGCTCCAGATGCAGCACCTCTGAGGTATCCACACATACAGGGAGGAAGCGTCGCGCCTCCGGTCTGCTAGGTCCACGAGGAACGAAGGCGCGGGTGTGGGGAAGGGCGGCGGCTGCCAAATGGCGTGGATTGACCTAGCCCTGCCGCCCTCCCCTTGCTTATATAGGCGTCCTAATGAGCTCTCGAGTTGGAGGCCCATTAGCAACCCTAAACCTTGTCTAATTCGGGTCCAATCTGAATTAGGCTTCCAGCCCCTTAAGCGTGCGACCCTATGGGTTCACGCACACATAGACATGGCCCGAATACTCCTATTCGGCCAATAGTTGGCAGCAGCCTCTAGCAAGGCGTGTCAACTCCTATGCATACGTAAAGATCATATCAGACGAACCACCACAAAACCACATACATGTTATTCCCTTTGTCACACGATATTTGGTCCAACTCGTGGGTTAACTATTAACCCAAGCACGGCCATGCATTTTCTTGATCAAATCATTCGAGTGGTCCAGTGATATCTCTCTCTCATGAAGAGGGGCAAATTCCATCTTGATTGACTATGTCTCACAGCATGTTTCCCGACAAACTTGAAAACCACCTTTATAACTACCCAGTTACGGAGTAGCATTTGATAGTTCCTAAGTAGGTCATTTCACCTCTTGAGTACATATGACAATCTCAGGTCTAAGGACATAACGTACATGATGTGTAAAGAGACAATAAGAACATCTCATGTTGGGTCTGTCCAGCCCCATGTCATACATGTGCCCACATTATTAGTTTGACATCTCCATGTCTATGACTTGTGAAACATAGTCATCAACTAATAATGTGCTGATCTAATATTCATGTGTGTCCTCGCAAGAACTCTGATCAGGGACAACTTTAGAATAACCATACAAGTAAAAGAGTTTCACAAACAATTCACATAATTGCCGATCGATACAAGTTGTCTTTAATGGATATTCAAATGAACTCATAATATATCATGGATACAAGGCAATACAATCATCTCTATGATTATCTCTAGGGCATACTCCCAACAAGTTTATCATATAAGGTGCTAGTTATTCCAGTGTCAAATCTTAATATGTGGATTGCTTGTTCATTGCATTTAATGTTTATCTTCCAATCTGTACATTTGATTGGTTCTATGTAGAAGAAGAAGACAACAACAAAGGTTACCAAGAGAAGTGTTCAGAAGGCGCAACCTGAGATGCAACCTGGTGTTCTCATAAGGTCACAGAAGAATCGTCCTGCTGATGTTACTGCAGTGACTAATCAAGCTGAAATCTGCAATCAGCCTACAGAGGAAGGTTAAATGACTACATTCCTATAACAAATTGACCTCTCTTGCCACAATGAATGATGTAAATGAAAATGGAGAAATAGAGGGTGCCAACATTTCTGAAGGTGTGTCATGCTGTGTCATGCTCTTGGTATTTGTTCTTCGCATGTTTTAGCTTGTCCTGATGGTTCAGCAAGTGCATAGTACCATAGAAGAACCACAAGTCGAGCTTGTCTTTGCAATCAAATTGTGCATGCTTTGCTTCTCTACATGAGCATCAGTTCAAGTTATAGTTATTTCCTGCTCAAGTCAACCTAGTACTGCTAGGCTCAATTAGTCAATTAAATTAGGATATTTATTATGGTTGGTTGATACTCCAATGCTTAAGATAACTCATGGATAGACAATTTAGTCACCAGTGCATGACTAAAATTCTGTACTTCATACATTGTTCATAATAAAATGTAAACTGGCTCAGCCTTGAACACCAGTTTTGATATTATTGTTAAATCAACAACTTTATTTTTCATAAGTTTATAGGATAATATTTAACTAGTATCTATTACTACTTTTGTTTCTGCATTACTGAGTGGTGAATTTCTTGAATCAGAGTTCAGAAGTTTATGCTTATCCTTTGTAGATGACCCATTTGATGAGGGGGACTGGATAAGGGGACCTAATATTGGGAGAGAACTTGATTTAATGACTCGCTCGAGGAAAGGCAAGCTTCCTTTGGTTATTGAACCGGGGAAGAAAAGACCGAACTTAGTGATGATTGCTGCAAAATTTGCAACTGAGTGCAACATTGCAGTAAGGAACCATGTTCTGATATTTCCACATTGGAAGGAGTACAAGAAACATCCTAAGATCATCAAGGGGTACATAGACAGAGTTGGTGTAAGTGTTCAAACTTGCCTCTTTCCAGAATTTATTTCCAACACTAACATTGTGTATTCAATAACATTTAGCAATGTTGTTTACTGTTACCAGACAAAGTTTCATACGAATGTAAAGGTAGCACCTATGAAAAAAGCATGTGTGGCTATGATGAAGAAAGCTATTCGCTAGCAGTGCTACAAGCTCAAAAAGAGGTATTTTGATGCTTTGCCACTACATCTAGTGCCCAAAACATCTCCTGTGACCTCAATGACTGATGAGCAATGGGATAAACTTGTGGAACACTAGAAAAATGAGCAAAAAATGGTAAGTTCATCCAACTATTCCCCATCTCATCATGTTGATGTCATATGTGCTTAACAACAGAACTGTGTTGTGGCAGAACCGCCTAATCCAATGCCTCCTAGAAGTGCTCGTCTTCCATTAGACACTAAGCACCTAAAGGAGAACACCAAATTACTCGGTTTCGTCGGGCACACCCCAGGGGAGAATCGAAAATCCACATTTTTCCATCAGGATCACAAATGAGAGAATAAAGCTTACATCATTCTTAACCATTTCTTACATCACTTTATATGTACATCAGAGTATAACATTTATTATTATAACAGCGGAATGTAATCATATTATCAGAGTTATGAACAATTTAATGTAACCGCGGAATATAAACATGTGATCAGAATTATAGCGAAAATAATTATTGATTCATGGCATGATGAAGCATTGATATGTAAGCTATGACAACAGATTATAAAACTTTCCTTTATAAAAAATTTGGTGAGAGTTATAAATAAAAACTACGATCACGGTGTAAAGGAAATCCTCTCTGAGCCCACCAGGAGGAATCCACACACAAGGTCAGCTCTAGCATCCACCTATCACCTGCAATAGGGGGAATAAAACCCTGAGTACTCAATTGTACTTAGCAAGACTTACCCGATAGGAGGAAAGAGAAGACTCCAAGGATATGCAAGGCTATCTGGCTTATGGGTTTATTACATTTGCAGGAAGCATTACTAAGCGTGCGTCCTTATATTCGATTTTTATTAATAGCCGCATTGGTTCATTAACTAACCATTCTATATAAGCACATATGCTACTTTCAAGCAGGTGGTAAGCAGATTTCCTTTTTTCCATCTTTCATCTTCAGTTCTTACTACGGTGCTAGACACGAAACAAGCCATACTGGATTGCCCGGCGATTCGCAAATCAATGCCCCCAGTTGGGTACCCCCAAAACACACGTCCCACTTGTACCCAAGGCACAAGCAGAACCAACCCATCACCCTCCTGTCCTAGGGTCCTAGGTCCCCGTCCAAACTAGGACTCCAAGCCCCCGCCCCTGAGTCCTAGACTTAGTGCGGTGCAAGGACCTCCTCCACCAAAACAAAGCCCTGACAGTCGGTCCAGAAAGAGCCAGAACCTACAACAAGAGAGCAACAAGTCTTCCAAGCGCCCATACCCAAGTATGTGCTCGGGATAATAAGTATGTGACTTGCCCATGATGCCTTATGCAACGACCAGTCCTTAATCGACACAGACAGGGAAAGCAGTGTAACTAAGCTATGCCCCGCGTCCACGGCGACACAACCTCTTACACCCACCAATACCCAAACCATATCCCTGCCCGATCACCATTTTTCTTTCCACCATTTTTATATTTTCCAAGTGATAATAACCCAATAATATATTTCCTATCTCTCGTGAGTGATAGGCAATCACTCGACTTCTATTAGAGTCCTGTAGCATAGCAATCTACACGATCCTGTCATACTAGTAAGACTCATAGGATAAAGATATGTATATGCAAGTGGGTTTCATTCAACTCCTTAAAACTTAATGCACAAATATAATTTAAACTGTAGAAAAGTAGGGGTTATGCATTGGGGCTTGCCTGGGTAAGATATATATTAAAAAGTTAGTATCTGCATCTTCAGATCATCCACCATCATCTGAATAGAAAGACCATTGCATCATCTCCTGGAGAGAATACCATTACACCATCTTCGGATTCCCAATCATCCTTCAATTGATCCGTTGATCCATCATCGTACCTATATGATATGCATTGATGCAAATGCATAGATGTAAATAATCGACGACAGTCGAAATGCTTAGAAATCCGATCATGCCTCACAAGCTAATGAGATAGCTCTAACGCTGGTCTACGTATCCATGTTATCGAATAAGGCGTTACTTCCCAATAATTATTTTAGTTCTATAAACTCAAGTTGTTTCTTTATTTTATCCCATCGATTTAATCATTATTTGAAATAGGGCATCATTATCTATCTAGCAAACCAATTATTCTGGAACTACAAAAATTACAGTGAGTACCTAATATTGCTAGAAACCTACTGTAATAATTTCAGATCCAACACTATTACCAATTGATCACAATAATTCCTACAAGTTTACATTTTAGCAATATTAAG